TTCAGCCACCTTGCCCTCCGGGGCGAGAAAAGCTGCTCCCGGTGCCCCTGGTCTGCTGGGGACCGTCTCCAGCAGACCAGGGGCACTGCGAGCAAACCCGCCGGGGCTGCTGCTTTGCTCCCGATGCCCCTGGTCTGCTGGAGACGGTCCCCAGCAGACCAGGGGCACTGGGAGCAGCTTTTCTCGCCCCGGAGGTCAAGGTAAGTCGGATCCGCGTAAGTCGGGGACTGCCTGTATACCAAAATGATATAATCAAAAAAAGTGAACACATAAAATTGACAAATCAAATTTTAGAACAGAGTGGGAGTGAGGGGGGAAGGTTAGTGTCTGTGAGGTAATGACATTAGGGCTGATAATTAGGGAAGCTATTTTTGTAATTACAAAGATAGCTTCCCCAATTATTACCTTTGCCCCCCACACTGATGCCTCTAACAGAAAGGGGAGGGCACAGAGGGGAGGGCAGGTAGCTCTGCGTGAGCCGATACGTGAAGGGAGCCAGCTTGAAGCCAGCCTCCTTTGTGTACTGGGTCCCGCCTGCCCTCCTCACCCTCCATGCGGCTGCCTCTCTATCAGAAGCAGCAACGCGGGGGGCAGGTGGCTCCACAGGATTGGGTGCTGCTGGGGAGCCAGCTTAAAAGCTGGCTCCCCATGGACACTGGCTCCCACTCCCTCCCACAGAGGCAAGTGGGGAGTGTGTGTAGTCAATAGGATTAACCGATCAGCCCAGACTTATTGGTTAATCATGTAGTCAACTACACATTGACATCCCTAGTAGACGTGGCATTGCTAGATAGTCAAGGCTATTGGCCTCCGGGAGGCCTTCCACAGTTCCCCGCTCAGACAACTCTAGCCATAACTTGCACCTCTGCTGCTGTCCCGGGTGAGCGCAAAAAGTCATGGGAAAAGTTGATTGGCCTTTCCTGTGTGGCCAGTGTTGAGTGCACCTTCAGAGTGAGCGGCATACTGCAGCACACGTGGGGACCATAGTGTTTTTGTATACTGTAATATGCAGACACATTGTAAACTATTATAAATGCCAGGGTAACTGGCCCTTCCCTACAATTTTTGGGAGGATCAACTCTGGAGGTTCCTCTAAAGAACCACCACCATCTAGGGAACTGTGCCTTTTGCCTAAACAAAAATCACAGACCTTCTCTGTGGGTGAATTCTTTCCTTGGCCATAATTTGTCTGTCTGTCAGTTATGTTTTGTGGGGTGTATTTTTTTCTCCTTTGCCAATATCTGAGAATTTCTGCCTTGCAATTGTGCTGACAAATCCTATATTTCTTACTCTAGGTTTTGTCTGAGTATGGAATGCAGGACCAGAATCCGACCCTGTCATTGTATTATTTACTGTATCTCTGTAAAGCCATAAGGACTACAGCTTATATGAAAGTTGTGATGGAAAAAAGTGTTGCAACTGATCCACTAAAAAGTTCCACAAAGCTATTTAATTTATTTATGCAAAGCTATTCTTATCAATAAATTAGGGAAATACAACCTAGATGGGGCTACTATAAAGTGGGTGCATAACTGGCTGGATAACCATTTTCAGAGAGTAGTTATTAATGGTTCACAGTCATGTTGGAAGGATGTACAAGTGAGGTTCAGCAATGATCAGTTTTGGGACTGGTTCTATTCAATATCTTCATCAATGATTTAGATATTGGCATTGCAGATGATACCAAGCTGGGAGGGGTGGCAAGTGCTTTGGAGGATAGTGTCATAATTCAAAATGATCTGGACAAACTGGAGAAATGGTGTGAGGTAAAGAGGATTAAGTTTAACAAGGACAAATGCAAAGTACTCCACTGAGGAAGGAACAATCAGTTTCACACATGCAGAATGGGAAGCGACTGTCTAGGAAGGAGTACTGCAGAAAGGGATCTAGGGGTCATAGTGGACCATAAGCTAAATATGAGTCAACAGTGTAAAGCTGTTGCAAGAAAAGCAATCGTGATTCCCTAACGTGCGCTGAACCAGTTATATGGATGTGTGACAGGCGCAGTGACAGAAGACCCCCTGGGGCTGTTTCCCGGTGCTGAAGTACTTTGTCCAGTTCTGTGCATCGTATGTCAGGAAGGACGTGGAGAAATTGGAGAGGGTCTAGAGAAGAGGAACAAAAATGATTAAAGGTCTAGAAAAGATGACCTATGAGGGAAGACTGAAAAAATTGGGTTTGTTTAGTGTGTAAAAGGGAAGACTGAGAGGGGACATGATAACAGCTTTTAAGTACCTGAAAGGTTGTTACAAGGAGGGGGAGAAAAATTGTTCTCCTTGACCTCTGATGATAGGACAAGAAGTAATAGGCTTAAATTGCAGCAATGGAGGTTTAGGTTGGACAGTAGGAAAACCTTCCTAACTGTCATGGTGGTTAAACACTGAAATAAATTGCCTAGGGAGATTGTGGAATCTCCATCACTGGAGATATTTAAGAGCAGGTTAGATAAACATCTATCAAGGATGATCTAGATTCTAGACGGTACTTGGTCCTGCCGTGAGGGCAGTGGAATGGATTTGATGACCTCTTGAAGTCCCTTCCAGTTCTAGCATTCTATGATTCTATGAATTTACTGGTATTTATGTCAGCGTGATAAGCTGGGTGAAAACCAGTATAATACGAAAGCTCAGTTTATTCTTCTTTTGGTTGTAAGGTACCTCAAAATGTCCTGATGGGGAATTACTTCAGAAAATAAAAATTATTCTGATCAACATTCTGAGGTTTAATCTAATTAAAATCCTATTTGGTTCTCTGAAAATATTTGCTCAGGGACTAGTCTGTGTCATTTAGGTTGGAACAGTGCAGAGAAAAAATATTTCTTTTGATAAACAAAATTAAACCTCTTTCTGTGAATTTAAATCATCTCTTGAAATATAGGTCTTCTGTTAAGCTTATAATCTCTTTTTTTTAAAAAACAAATGTAAAAGATACAGAAAGGTGATAGCTATTTACATTTTTGAAATTAGTTTTAGCTTTTAAAAGCTACAGGTTAAAAGGGGAGAGATTTAGTTGAACTTTAAAAGCAAAAACCATCTGCTATTGTCAAAAATAGTAACTTTGGTGGCAAAAGCAATACTACAGGGAAAGACTGTCAGCAGGTGTCACTGCAGACTACAAGAAATAGTGGAATGTTCAAGGAATGTAACTCAGTTTGGTAATGTATATTACAAATGAATGTTCTTTTTGGGAGAAGCGAGGTCTTGGCTTTTTTTATACATGGCAGGTATGAATAAACTTTATCCTCTGTAACATAGTTCTTTCACATAACACCAATGTTTTCCTTGTGCAGGACTTGTTTGCATTGGGCATGCAAACGGAACCACGCTCCAGTGGTAACTTACCTGATAGAGTCTGGTGCTGATAAGGAGATTCTGACAAGTAAAGGAGAAATGCCAGCCCAGTTAACCGCAAAGAGAGAGATTAGGAAAATATTGGGAGGTAAGTTGATTACTGAAATCTTCAAAATGTTTATATTAACTAATGACCTATTTTAATAATTATGATCCTGCTCTGTTGTGCTTTTGCTTTAGTGCTGAATCTATATTTAAAAGCTTATGATTCTGTGGCAATAATTCCCATTTGGCCTCCAGAGTCTTTACCAAGAAAGTAATCACAACTTCAGAAAAGTTGGTTCAATGGGGCTTTTACGTTACAATTGTTTCTGTATGTGGGAGAGGAAAAGCTAAAGTTTGAAAAATGAAACTCAGAATTTGTTCACTATAAACATTTGTGGCTTGATACATATTTTAAAATGGGGATAAGGAGAGGGAAAGCTGTAATATACATAAAGCCTTTAGTGTATATGTCTGATAATTCCATAAAATATCAGGAAATTTATTGAAAGGGTTAACTGCATTGATCCTATTGAAGATTAGTATCTTAAATGTATCCCATAAAAGGATTGCAATAGAGTAGTATTCCCAAGGCATCTGTTAAATATTTTAACTATCAAATTAGCAATGTTTCTATTAATTAGTCTGAATTCTATTAAGAATGATTGATTTTTCCTGCCTTTTCACTCCTTTCTGATTTCTGCCTTTGTCAATATCTATTTGCTGTTGTGTCAATAGTTAAAGATGCTGTACACTCTTCTCCCCTCCCCCCCCCACATACTGTCTTGATATCCACTGCAAACCTGAAAAATCTACTGCTCTTCATATATTCCTCTGGGTTATGCCTATTATGAAGGCAAAGAAACTATGCCAGCCAAGAATATGGCACAAAATATTGGCCATAGGACATTTTTCTTAAAAGATGGCAGATTCTACATCAGTACAAGTGTTGCGGGGGAAAGTCGAGGTGTTTGTAAAGTATCTCAGTCACATAAGCTTTGTTTTTATGGAGCCCCATTGCACAATTATATGTACTGTGCATAAAGCTGTAGAGTTCTTTGTTTTATATCCTTTGTATGGGTGTGTATAAGTAGTCTGAATCTGAAAACCACAATGTACCAGGACAATTTCAATTTATTTTGTTCATTGGACTTTTTTGTTTCTTTCCTTTATAGTAGAAGATGGTGAACTTGCAGATTTGAAGCAAGACTCTCACTCGTCAATTGTCCCAAATTATTTGGCGAATCCACCTTTCCCCTATGTTTATAACACAATGAGTAACAGCATTCCAAATCCTTCCACTGGTTCTCTGAATGGAAGCTTCCCCATATCCTTAGAATTGCAAGATGTAGATTATCCCAGTTCATTACCTCGAGTGAAAGCACATACTTCTGCAACATCACAATATGAAAATGCTGCTTCTGCAGTGGCTGATAATAAAGATATGCTGACATCACCTGGAGCCAGTACCATGCCAGAATTCCCCAAGCCCGTAGGCCAGAATGGTCCAATTCACCAGACATCTCTGCCTCAGAGCAGAAGTTACTCTTCTCCAGCTGCATTTAAACAACCTGTGCCCCAGCAACAGCATGGCACATGTATGGGGCCTATGCCAGCATTTCAGCCATTTTTCTTCACTGGAGCTTTCCCATTTAATATGCAAGGTAACATTACATTATGATTGCAGATTATAAAATTAGTTTTACCATTCCGTTTTTGCTCTGTTCTTCTTGGATGCTGTCATGTTGGAGAATAAAAATAGATTAGTCAATTTTAATGTTACAGGCAGTTCCCGGGTTACGTACAAGATAGGGACTGTAGGTTTGTTCTTAAGTTGAATCTGTATGTAAGTCAGAACTGGTGTCCAGATTCAGCCGCTGGTCAGTTTCAGCAGCGGCTAACTTGGGGACGCCTGGGGTAGAGCAGCTCGGGTGCTGCTGGGTTGGTCCAGTAGCGCCAAGGAGCGGTGCTGTGGGACCAACCGGCAGCTTCCCGGGTTACGTACAAGATAGGGACTGTAGGTTTGTTCTTAAGTTGAATCTGTATGTAAGTCAGAACTGGTGTCCAGATTCAGCCGCTGGTCAGTTTCAGCAGCGGCTAACTTGGGGACGCCTGGGGTAGAGCAGCTCGGGTGCTGCTGGGTTGGTCCAGTAGCGCCAAGGAGCGGTGCTGTGGGACCAACCGGCAGCGCCCCACCTGCTCTACCACAGGC